CTGCAGTCCTGCCACATCTAGTCACAAATGGCTGTGGCCAATTAAACAATTCACTGGAGGAAAAGGTTCCACAAATATCCCAGCCTCAATGATGTAAGAACCCCATGCTTCAGTGCAAAAGACAAGGCTGAAGCATTCACAGCAACCTTCAGCCAGAAGTACCGAGGGGATGATCCATCTCGGCTTTCTCCAGTGACCCCCAGCATCACAGATACCAGTCTTCCACCAATTCAATTCAATCCACATGATATCAAGAAATGGCTGTAGGTACTGAATACTGCAAAGGCTATAGGCCCTGAATATTTTCCAGCAATAGTACTGAAGTCTTGTGCTCTAAATCTTTGGTGTCCCTAGCCAAGCTATTCTAGTACAACCACAACACTGGCATCTACACCACAATATGGAAAATTGCCCACATATATTCTGCACATAAGAAGCAGAACATATTAAACCCATCCAATTATTGCATTACTCTCAATCATCAGTGGTGCAAGTTGTCATCAACAATGCTAACAAACAGCACTTGCTTAGCAATAAACTGCTTACTGACATCCAGTTTGGGTTCTGCCAGGGCCACTCAGCTCTTGACCTCCTTATAGCTTTGCTTCAAACACAGACAGAAGAAATTAATTCCAGGAATGAGGTGACGTGAGAATAATTTCTCTTGACATCAAGACTAAATTTGACCAAGTTTCACATCAAGAAGCCTTGGCAAAACAAGAATCAGAGGGAAAACTCACCACTGGTTAGAGTCTTACTTGGCACAAAGGAAGTTAATTGTAAATGTTAGAGGTCTGTCATCTCAACTCTAGGACATCTCTGTAGGAGTTCCTCAGAGTCATGTGCTCGGGCAAACCATCTTCAGGTGCTTTATCAAAGACCTCCCTCTATCACATGGTCAGAACTGAGAACATTCACTGATGATTGAACAATCTTCATTACCATTCATTGATTTCTTGGATATTGAAGTAGTCCACGTACAAATGCAGCAGGAGTTGAACAAAACCAGATTTTAGCTAACAAGTCGCAAATAACATTTGTGCCAACCAAGTGCTAGGCAATGACCATCTCCAACAATAGAATTTAACCATCACCTCTTGACATTCAACAGTATTACTATAACTGATTCCCACACTGTAAGAATCATAGAATCCCTACTGTGTGGAAACAGGCCCTTCGGCCCAACAAGTTCACACCGACCTTCAGAGCATCCCACCCAGACCCATCCCCCTTTAACCCACCTAATCTACACATCCCTGAACACTACAGGCCAATTTAGCATGGCCAATCCACCTAGCCTGCACATCTTTGGACTGTGGGAGGAAACTGGAGCACCCGGAGGAAACCCACGCAGAGACGGGGAGAATGTGCAAACTCCACACAGACAGTTGCCCAAGGATGGAATCAAACCCGGGTCCCTGGCACTGTGAGGCAGCAGTGCTAACTACTGAGCCACTGTGCCGCCAGGGTTTGGCATTGACCAGAAACTGAACTTGACTAGCTATATAAACAGTGTGGCTATAAGAGCAGGTCAGAGGCTAGGAGTCCTGCAGCAAAAAGCTCACGTCCTGACTCCCCAAAGCCTGTCCACTATCTATAAGGTACAATTCAGGAGTGTGATGGAATATGCTCCACTTGCCTGGATGAGTGCAGTTCCAACAACACTCAAGAAATGTGACATCATCCAGGACCAAGCAGACTGCCTGGTTGGCATCATATCCATAAACATTCATTCCCTCCACCACCGACGATCAGTATCAGCAGTGTGGACCATCCACAAGGTGTGCTGCAGAGATTCACCAAGGCTCTTTAGACAGCAAAAGCTTTCAAACTCACGGCCACTACCATCTAGAAGGACAAGGATGGAAGATACATGGGAACACCACCAGCTACAAGTTCCCTCCATGTCACTCACCATTCTGACTTGGAAATATATTGATGTTCCTTCACTGTCACTTGTCAAAATCTTGGAACTCCCTCCCAATCGGTAGTGCGGGACTACTTACATTAAATGGATTGCAGCTGTTCAAGAAGGCAGTTCACCACGACCTTCTCAAAGAAAATAGGGATGGAAAATAAATGCTAGTAGAAGCAGTGAAACCCATATCCCTGCAGTAAATAAAAAAAAAGATCTCTGAAAAGACTCAGAAGCGTAGCAGTTCAATGCTGTAGTGACCTTTAGTGCCACTTGCATTGGATTGTCTTTGGTATTCCAGGCCAAACCAAACAACATTTAGGTGGGCTGGAATAGGGTGAACAGCAAACCTGTTTGTTTTGGATGGAGGCTTATTCAAATATGTAAATCTGGCACTATGTAGATGTAGGATAGGATTTTGCATGCAAATGGCCATGCAACATCACTATTCCTCCCCTATAATGTGGTATTGTGCACTGATCATTTATTTCTGAAATATAAACACAGCAATTTATTGGTTTGGATCCTGTGTCCTGATTTGATTTAGTTAAGAGTGTTTTACCAATCTACCATCAATAAATACATGAGAAGTATTATAATGAGCCTTGGGCTATGATTGACCTGAGACAAAAAGGTCTGAAATATTTTTGTTACAAGGAATCATGTATTTATACCTCTTGTTATTATCTGTAGCAAAATGCAAATAGTTCTAGACCTGTTCAAATGATGGAATTTGCTTACCCTTTGTTTATCTTTTACTATCAACCACACCATAGATCAATGTATTTGTATCAAAAACACAGATGTGACCTCAGCATTTCAGCATTTAGTGCAGTTACTCTGTGCAGTACAGGATGAAGTCCATACCATCACCAGAACGAGACACTGCTGGATTATATACATACATGCAAAGTGATGCCCTCCCTCCCCTCTCAGTTTCCTGCCATTCATCCCTTCTCTCTCTCCACACAAGCAACTCCATGCTCTCACTTTCCACTTAGTGTGCCCATTTTCCTCCCTGCCCACTCCACTCCACTCATCCATCCACTCCTTCGGTCTTCCTCCTCTCTACCCCTTCAGGATTTCCCTACCTTGCCTGACTTCCATTTCTTGTTGCTGTTGTTGCCACTATCAGGAAGTGGTTGTGGCTTCATCTCAGCCAGCACTATTGATGGGGATCTGCAAGGCCAGGGATAATTGAGGCACCCCTCTGGGACTCAGGACCTTGGGAGTTCAGACCCAGAGAGTGCAGTCTCTTTCACGAGGTTGAGCTGGGAGATGACGGATTTTCAATTCTGAGTGCCCAAAAGGATGAATTGTAGTTTTGATAAGAGTGCCAGTTCATATATTGAGGGAGACTCAATGACCTGATAGAGATAACAAGGCTTATCTGCCTACTTTCAAATGTTCAAACTGAAGTGAGCAGAGGCAATAATGGAAATCATCTGCATTGTAGGTACAAATATTGGACAAATGCTCGAGTATTTTCAACAGCAGTTCAGTAAAGCAGTGAGTGAGAAAAATCTTTTCATATTCTCCACTGAAAACTTGAAAATCGCTCAACAACAGTTGGAGAGTATTTTGCGCTCTCATGGGGAGAGATGAAGGAGCGGCAAGGTACCAAAAAGTCTAAGCTAAGTCCAATCTAGCACAACAAGTATTGAACTTCAGAGAAAACCTGTGATTGAAGAAGTTGAAAAAGCAAGAGTGGGAAACACAAAATCTGTGACTGGAGGAAAGACGGGTGGAGGGGAGACAGAACAGCCACTTCAATGCCAACTCTGCAGTAATTTCCCATTGTAGTATTGAGAGGCTATTGGTTTGTCACAGATTTCAGTCTTTCGATGAGCTGTTAAATTGTGGTCCCATCTGCTTTTTCCAATTGACATCAGAACAATAATGTATGATAAGATGTGCCTTTAAGAGGGATGTTTTCTGTCCTGTTTCTCTTGAAGTGGTGCATTGTAAACATGGTGCCAAGGTCTCTGTTTCATGGAAAGCAGAGTGAATAGCTTTTTTTTAAAATGTAGGCTAAAGAAGCATGAATGGGTGGAGTCAGGCTCACATAGACCTAGAGTTTTAGTTTTTGCATTCAGTTGTTAAAGTTGGGGTTTTTGGAGTTTAAGCTGCTAGAAACAGCGCTTTCTCTGCTGCTGCAAAAGTTTGAATTTTCTCTCTGCTGCTAAATTCCTTCTGTCAGTATTCCTTCTCCTGGACTAAAGGAGATAGCACATGAACAAATCTGTTTTGCTGAATGTGCCTTTACCAAGGGTGTGTTTATGGGATGCTGCTATATTGGAACAGTTGATGAGTAGTAGTTAAAATATGTATTATATTGTTAAGTATTTCAATTGAGTTAAAGTTATGCCAATTCTTTTCCATACATATTTTAACTGAAGTGTAAGAATAAAGTGTGTTTTGCTTAAAGCCTAGCAGTTTGACCAATCAAATCTGCCTACACTTGCCTTTACATAAGGTAAAAGTTAGGGTCTAGGCAAGGATCAGATCAAATGGACCCATCTTAATTTAGACTATTATTGATTAATTAATTTAGACTAAATGTCCACACATCTTTTTGAGCACAGAGAGGTTGGCTGCTATAAGGACTTGAGCACTTTTCTGATGCTTGTCTCTGATGATCAACTGCTCAGTGACAGTTTGAAAGCTACTTTTATCCAGCTAGCTCACCTCTTCAGCACATTGTGTTTAAAAGCACCAGAAACTCAATAAATGAATCCTTTATGGAACGGTTGTTCGGTAATCTTCACTGGATTTGCAAACACCAATGACAATAAATACTTCACTACTTATACTAACTAAAGGCAGACAGTTATGCACTTGAGTGTGAAACAGACTTATTAGAAAGAAGCTTACTTTGTTTAATGCTATCTGATTTGCAAACCATAGATACCACAGAAGTGAAATGGCAGTTTCAAACCTGTTTTTAAAAACTTTACAAGATATTCAACTCTAAAGCTATAAAAACTCCCAGTTCTTAGAGACTGAAGGAAATTTGTTATCGAAATTAAGCAGTAATTTTGAATAGTCAATCCATTCTCATGCTTAAGCTGAAAATTGTAGTGTATTATACCTGTTGATTCAACAATTGTATTGATTGAATACTGGTCTTCAATCGGTTGTGCATGTCTTCAATAGTTGAAAGTTTTTCGGCTACAAGACTCTCATGTTCATGCCTAAATGCAAAAGGTAGAGAAACAATTCACTGTCTTTTGTGTTTCCTTCATAGTTGATTATACTGGAAAGAATGTTTTTGAAAATGTGATTTATTGCCAACTCTACAAAGACTGGCGGCAAAACCGCCTCCTCCAGGCTATCAGGTTTCTTACCGGTTATAGAAATAATCTTTTAGCTTATTATTCATCATCACTCCATTTTTGGCAGGGTGGGTGGGGCACAGGATTTTTCTCTGAGGATCTGACTAATGTAACTGTTGAACGATTAAGACAAAGAGACACTGCTGTTCTCAATTACTCTTTATAGGAGTAGAACAGTGCCTTTGTATGTTGAGAAATATGAAAACTGTTAAAAGATTTTCAGTTTCCTATGCAGACATACTTAATAAATAAAAATAGAAAACACAAGGTATTCTGCAGAACTGACAGTTTCTTGCGTATTTGCATGTAGTATTCAGAACAAAATAAATGACTGGATGGGTTTAAACTAACAGCTATTACAGAGACATAGTTAATGACGAGACCAAAGCTGGGAATTAAATATTCAGGAGTATGTGACTTTTCGAAAGGCCTGGCAGAAAGGAAAGGGTGGTGAGATAACTTTGTTGGTACAGGATAGAATAGGTATGATAGCAAGAATTGATCTTGGGTCGGATGTCGTAGAATCCATATGGTGGAAGTAAGAAATAAAAAGGGGGAGAAGATACTAGTAGGAGTAAACTAAAGACCCTCTAATAGTAACTATATGGTGGGACAGAGAAAAAGTCAGGAAATATTGAGGGTGTATAACAAAGGCAGTATGTTATCATGAGTGATTCTGATCTTTATATAGATTGATACAGTCAGATTGGCAGAGGTAGCCATGAGGCAAAACTCATGGTGTATTCAGGACAGTTTCATAGAACAACATGTTAAGACCATAATGGCATAAGAGAAAAGAACAGAAGTAGGCTTTTCAGCCCCTTGAGACTGCTCCGCCATTCATTAGGATCAGACATGACTTGATATCCCTCAGGACCACTTTCCTGCCTTTTCCCTGTAACTCTTGATTCCCCTACTGATCAAGAATCTATCTATCTTAACCTTAAATATACACATGGACTCTGCCCCTATTGTAAGAAGGGGATAAGTGAATTATGGTTAACCAGGAAAATTAAGGAAAGTACCAAATTGAAAAAAAAACAATTTGGCAAAGATTAGTCTTAAACCAGAGGATTGTGCAAGTTTTAAAAACCCACAAATGATAACCAGAAAAAGAGGGAGAAAATCAATGTTGAGGATAAACTTGCAAGCAATTTCAAGACAGGCAGCTATTGTCAAGTTTGCAGGATGACACACAAATAAGTGAATCAGAAGTTGGGTGTTGAAGTCTCCATTGAGACCTCAATACAGCAAGGTTGACACAAAAATAAGTAGGAAAGCAAGTGGTGAGGATGACACAGAGCCTGTAAAGGAATATAGACAGGCTAAGCGAATTAGATTCATAGAGTCATAGAAGTATACAGCACGGAACAGGCCCTTCAGCCCAACTCATCCATGCCAACCAGGTTTCCTAAACTGAACTGAATTGCAAAAGGTTGGCAAATGCAATATAATGCAGAAAAATGTGAAGTTATACATTTTGGCAGGAAGAATAGTGGCGCTGAATATTATTTTAATTTGTCGTCAGATATATTCAAGGCTGAGAAGTACAGATTTTTAATCAGTAAAGGGATAAAAGGGTTATAGCGAAAAGGCAGACAAGTAGAATTGAGGGTTATCAGTGAGCCATGATCTCGTTGAATGCCAAAGTAGACTCGAAGGGTTGAATGGCCTAAGTTAGCTCCAGAGTTAATGGGCTGGATGTTGGACAGTGAAACAATGGGTTTCCTCCCACAGTCAAAGATGTGCGGGTTAAGATGACTGGCCATGCTAAATTGCCCATAGTGTCCAAAGATGTGCAGGCGAGGTGGATTAGCCATAGTAAATGTAGGGTTAGAGGGATAGGATAGAGGGTAGATCGGGGTGGGATCCTCTTTGGAGGGTCAGCATATACTTGATCTGCCAAATGGCCTGCTTCCACAATGTAGAGATTCTATGATTGTATGGAAGTGGGCCATACAAAGTGGTTGCAGAACTGCATTGGAGACCTACATCATCTGTGAGGGAGGCCTGAATCAAGTAAGTGCCTGTCAGTTACTTCAGTGTCAGGCCTCCCACACAATCATGTGACTAGTGTGGCAATAATTTCACCCCAAAGTGCTTCTGGCCAATTCATGTCAGGAGTTCTACATTGCCAGTAATTCAGAAATACACTGAGCCCCAGTTTTGGGATCAATGGCAGATTCTAGGACACAGTTGAGTGAGGGTCGAACAAGGGGTTGTGGGATCGGTGTCACAACAGCAGGGGTGATTGGAGGGTGGCTTTCAGATCCTCTTTCTTCCTGATGCCAGATGCACCCATTCGGTGTACTGTGCCTGTCAGCAGGAGAGAATCCCCATACCTCCAAGGCTCCAAGCAAATCCAACAGGGGGCAGCTTTCAGGAGCTATGAAAAATATGTTCAATTTCCATTAAATCCTTGAGTCACTATTAAATTTTGCATGGCTCATGACATCAAGTGACTTATTAATGAACATAATTGCCTTTGTGTCACTGGCAGTAGCACTTTCCACCCCCAACCTAATGAGTACAGTTTTCATGATGCAGGGAATCTGACAAAGGTATCCCTGTCTGACTTTCATGACTTAATCGCCCAAATCCCTGCCTTTATTTCCAGGTGGGGTGGGCAGATTTCACTGAAAACAACATTTTAGGTCATGGCCTTTTATCAGAATTTTTTTTCTGTTTTTCTTTCTCCACATTTTTCCATTTTTATTTCAGATTTCCATCATATGCAGTATTTTGCTTTTATAATACTTAAACAGAAGTTTGGCATTGTTTATTTAATTTTGTCATCTTGAGTTCAAGTATCATGATTAATTTTACCAAGTTAACAAAATGAAAGCAACAATATTAATTGATCTTTTTATAATGTTCCTAATGTGTAATGAGACACCTTAAAGTGTTTTAAGAAGGAAAAGAAGCACTGACCAATGGATAAGAAATGTAAATGATGATTGTTGGGATACAGGACCCAAGGCACAGTGAAGAGGGGGGATTTTGAAAGTATGGAGGACAATAGTGAGGTTGTTAAAGGTAGGCACAAATTTTCATAAAGGAAGAGTGAAGTGGCTGAATGGATGAAGTGGGGGGAGTAAGGAACAAAGAGATAGTGATAAAATGGTCTCTGCACCAGAATATATAATTGTTTTTGCACCTTTATTGTGCTTTTGCTGCATTTTATTTAAAGTTTAATTGGTTTGGCTGGATAATCCACCATTTTTACATATATTTTCTGTTCTAGACATCATTTCCATTAATTACAGTGACTCTTGGCTTTCAAATTGCAGCATACAAAGTGTAGACGGCGTGATTTCCATTGAAGTTTCTAAACATGCTTCAAAATTAAGCTCAGAAATACAGTTTATTGAAATTATGGGCAGGAACTTCAATTCATAGATTTGGATTGGCTTGCTTCCCTCCTGACCAGATAAGGTCGCGCCAAATATCATTACCGCCTCATTTGTAAAATCAGGGCTTTAAATCATTCTCTGCAGGCATATATGAATCACGAGCCACTCTCACGAAATAGTTACATTAACTTATAACCAACCATTAAGAATAAACATTTTCACATATTCAAATAATAAATGAATACTATTCGAACATAGAACAGTACAGCAAAGGAACAGGCTCTTCAGTCCCACATGTTTGTACTGACCATGATGTCATTTTAAAATAGCACCCCCTGCCTACATATGGTTCCTATCCCTTTATTCCCTGCTTGCTCATGTGTCTATCTAAATGGGTGGTAGACTGTGAGATGCAAGTACCTCTAGCTTCAGCCCAGAGGGATCAGCTGCATAGAAGTCCATGATGTTTCAAAGGTGCTTTATCTTTAATACTGCTTGGAGAACTTATATTTTGAAGGATTATGTAAAAAGAGCTTATTTCAGGTTTTGAGGAAATATCTGGAGTGGCTTCTTTAAAAGAGGCGATTGAATGATTATTGCTGGCATTTTGATTTTTTTTTGAAACAACAGTTTCCTGTTAAATACGTGAGTGGTGATATTTGCTTGCATTACAGAATCACAAAATTCTTACAGCACAGTGGGAGTCTGTTTGGCCCATTCTACCTGCATCAGTTCTTCAAATGAGCATCATTATCCAATGTTAATCTCCTGTTTTCTTTTTCACCATACCCTTTTATGGCTATTTCTATCCAAATGGTCATTCAATGCCCTCTTGAATTACTGTAGGTATGTGCTGAGGCAGTTTTGGACAGTAATTGGCTTGGAGAGGTACTTGTTTTATCTGGTTCAGCTGAGTTGGAGGAAAATTGTCTAAGAATAAGCAACTAAACTGATCTGTCTTATTTCTGAAAATAAAATCTTTTTGCATTCAGGGTGAGCCTATTTGTTCTTTTGAAAGAGTGATTCAAAAAGTTTTTCAAGATTATATTTCCTGGGCAAGGGTGTATTTGCACCATTTCAGGGTCAAATGTGGCTGATTAGTGACGACCACACATGCCAGAAAAACAGACTTTGGAACATTCCTCTCTATATCCTTTTGCATTCAAGAATAACAGTAAGTCGCCATTGCTTTACCAAACCATGGGGCTGCTCTCTTATTAGAAAGTGATGACTGGTGGTGGTTTAACCTGAGGGTCACCATCCTTAGGTAAGGAGAGAGGTTAAGAAAGAGAATTCTTCATGGTAATCTCAGCCCGTGCTGGAATTGAATCCGTATTATTAGCAGTTCGTCCCATTTCAACTCAACTGTCCAGCTCACTGAGCTAATGGACATTCCTTTCAATAACAATAAAAAGTGGCCAAAGGTTTGCTTTTTCAGAAAGCCAAACTCTTTCATTTTTCTTGAAGAGAGTGTCTGTGCATTCTAGAAATGTGTTTTAGAGATAT